GGGACTTGCCAGCACATTCTCCACCTACACCACTTAGATCAGTTCATTTATAGTCTTTTTTGTTTTGTTTTGTTTTTAAGTACTTTTAAAAAGTATATTATTTCTTTATCAGCCTTATCTACATTGTTTTAATCTAGCCCATTATCACCTCTTGGGAATTTAATAAAGGAAATAATGTCTTAATATTAGTGGTATTGGTCTTAAATGAAGATAATATAAAGAAAAATTGGATGAGAATTGAATGCTGAATTAGTTTTGTTCAGGGCTGTAGTCTTTTCAACCATTTACCTTGGTTTAAGTTGGTTTTTTATGTTTGTTTGTTTTGTTTTTTGGTTTTTGTTTTTTTTTTTTTCCTTTTAAATTTTAATCACCTTGAAGAATAGGGAGATCAAAGTATCAATGAAGTTTAGCCAAAGGAGGCCTGGCATAGAGTAGACAAAAGGAAGTGGGCAGAAGGGGCCATCAGAGAAATCATTGCAAGGGATAGCAAAAGTCAGTGAATTCTAGTGCCCTGGGGTGCTCTCCTCCCTGTGGGTGGAGGCTGCAACTTGCACATCAATACCTTCTCCTTCTCATCTACTGAGAAAACAGGAGGCTCTACCTAGATTCTCAAACTGGAACTAATTGATTTTCAACTAATCTAAGCCTTTCGTTATAAAGAAAGTAAGACCAAAGGCAATTCCCAGGAAGGGTGGGAATGGTAAAGACAGCATGCCAAGAAAGCCTGGGGCTCCAGAAACTGCAAAACTAAAAGGGGGAGAATTAAAAGTGTTGGAGTTGGGGCAGGAGGTAAGGAAAGAGTGTATAATTACAGGCAGTGAGAGTAAGAAGCTAGATACAGGTGGTGTTTGGGGCCGTCCAAAACTTCTAGCCACATGTCCATTCCTTCCTAAATCCCAAGTTACTTGTCATCAGACTTTTGAAACTGACTATTTTGTAAGTGACCACTAAGACATAATTTCTTTTTTTAAATTAAACTATGTTTATAGTTATCTCCCTTCGGGAGCCACCCGAGTCACTTGGCAATAAAATAGCTTTAAGAAACACAATCTAGTTGTCCTGGTTATAAATGAGAAAAATTATTGATGAAGAGAGAAAAGGTTTTCATCCTTAGAAATAATCTTTCCCTTCAAACAGAGAAAAAAAATTTAAAAATGACTGTTCGGTATTTCTTATTTCAGACATAATTCATGGATATGTGCTATGGTGGTTTCAAATCATCTTTTCTCTCTACCCACCACTTATATTTAAAAAGAAATGCATCTATTTATATTACACCTGTTAATAATGCTGTTGAAGAAACTTCATACCATAGGAAGCATCTTTACAAAAGCTTATTTATATACAAGTTCCTCTCCATTGAACACTTGAGCCACTTTCAAAGTTGTTAATTGAGGACATAAACATTACGATTTTCCAATAATGGGGGAGGTTATTGATTTTAATAAGGGAACCTTAATTTAATGCTCCCCATATTGCTCCTTTCATATCTAACATATTATAGATCACAAAAATGTTCAGCGTTACATTTATATACTTTATACCTGCACATTAACATATATCTTAAAATATATCTAAAAAATATTTGAAATCAGCACATCAATGACCCAAAAATCTACCAATAAACACAAATGGCAAATTTTGTTTTCAGAAAAAAAATATGTAGGTAATGAATAACACAAGTTTCCTATTGTTTATAATTTGCTCTAAAATGTTTAGTTTTGTATCATTAAATAATTAGATGAAACATTGTTATCATATTTTTAAATAACTTTAGAACTATCCCAAAGGCATATGTCCCAAGACAGGAATTGTACTTGCATATTAAAAGTATATAATCTAATTGTTGGTTTGTATAAGTACTTCATACACAAGCCAAGTAAACATTTAGGAAAAAGAGATATAAGAAGTAAAAAAAGTACTAGAAAGATATTTTTGTTCCCCACAAAATTAAGTGGTAGTGGTAGCAATTCAACAAAAGCTTGGCTGGTATTCAACACTTTGAGGGTGGGGCTTTAATCTGTAAATATTTCTTACTGTAACAGAAACTAAATTTGGTCTAGCCATTTAGATTTGTTTCTTTAAAGTAAACAAGTTAATAAAAATCATTTAAAGGTAGAATACTAAACTTGGCTTATATTTAAATGCTTACATACCCTAAGTCTTGCAACTTACATTTCATTTTTATATTTTAGTAAAGTACAATATTTTTCATTTATGAAAATAATACTAATTTACAGAAAAAATTAAAAAATAAGTAGTGTGTTGGATATGAGTCTGAATCTGGGTTAAGCTAAATTTGTTATGAGAAATGTTACAGATACCATCCGCATATTTATATACCCAGGTGGCTTCCTTAGAACACGCCCCCTTCTACTACTAACAGAACTCATTTGGACTTGACACAGACATTTTTTTTTCTGATACTAAAGAAATAAATTTATCTTGAGCTCCCTAACAGTGCAAAACACAGTGCAGGTAATATATGTTGTTGAATTACATTAAGAGCACTGGAATTTTTTGTTCAGTTTATGATGATAGTATATGCTTAGCTTTCCAAGTATGCTTTGATTTGTTTTATGCATGGAAGGATACAGAAGTGAGCTTTATACTAAGTAGTGATTGCCTATAAAGTTTGGTTATATTTGTAGGCACATTTTAAGAATAATGTAATTGTAGCTCAGTTTTACTTCAAGACAAGTACAAGAAATTCACCCAGGATCAAAATCCATTTTCTAATAATTTCTTATGTGATATTTGTTTGGGGGTTATTAATAAAGAAAAACTATATGGCTTATTATTGAGGAAAACACCACTAATAACCTATTTAAGCATGCTCTAAATAAGGTTTCTGAAGTTTAAATTTAATATTATTTCTCTAGAATAAAATAAGTAATTTTAACTGTTAATATAAGTAATGAGCTTGTAAGCAGCTGTGCCATCATCACATTGTAACCAACACACACAAAAAAAAAATAACATTAATTTAAAAGCAAAATATTATTTAATGGTAAAACAGGGTTCTAGAAATCATTGAATAAATTGTTTTCTGTTTGCTTTGTTTTCTTATTTTACCTGCATTTACAAAAGGTAATGGCATACAAGTTCAAAAATCTAATTTTTTCTAAAATAAAAGTAGAAAGCTATTACAAATGATCAAAAGATTCAGTTTAATCAAACGCATGAAGATAGATTCATGACTGAGCTATTATTGCTTATTCTCAATTTCTCTTTTGTCATGTTTTAGATGACCTAAACAAATAACTAAAGTTGGTCTAATAGTCTAGATTTGTTTCTCTAAAGTGAACAAATCGCTAAAATAATTTAAAGGTAAAAATTATTGTGTTTGTTTTAGATGTTTACGTGGTCTAAATCCATGTAAGATGTCTACATCTAAATATAGTGATTTACATTTAGTTGCAAAAGTTGTCCTATTGATGTTACTGTGAACTCTTGAATAAAAAAGCTGAAAAGTAAAATGTTCTAAGAGGAATATTTTTATGTCTCTCATACTAAGAAGAAATAATCAAACCAATTTTGAATTGAGTTTTATTTGCAAGCTCTCACATAAACCTTATATGTTGCAAGCTCTCACAGAAACCTGCTAATTATATGTACAAAAGAAAATACCATGAGAAAGACCTGTGGAGTACCTGGCATGCAGTAGAGGGTGACTTTCTAAATATCAGTACTAGGAGCTTTGTCCCTGGTGACACAAAACATACGATTTAGTAAGCACCCTATCCTCCATGCCAAGATTGCCAAGAGTAAATGACCACAGCATATTAAGAAACATACACTACAAACTTGGCCACCCGTCACCAAGATTTGCTGCTCTCTGACTTTTCAAGAAGTATTTCCTTTGAGATAGTATACAAGGAGAGTAAAATATTTTGAATTCAACCCAGATTGCATTTTAATCTAAAATTTTAAAAGGTGCTACTTTTATAGGGACCTTGATTCTTAAAAGTTTATTAAATTTGTTGGTTAAATTTTAAGTCTTAAAACTAAATTATATTTAATGTTACTTTCCTTTAAACAGCTAAAGATATTCAATTCATTTTTAGCATGTCCCAAAGTATTTTAAGTTAAAACAGCCCTTGTAAAACGATTTTAAGTAGGTAAATTATTTAATATACTCATGAAATGGAATACTAGCCAGTGATGTGTCATTTGCGATTGTCAATATTTAAAAATTACCATGAAGCACCAGCACTGAATGAAATATAATTTTAAAACCTACTCCTTAGTATCCTTGTTTATATTTATGGAAATTATCAATTAAAATATTTTCTCTCAAAGGATAATTTGGTATAGATAAATACTATCAAAGCAAGTTTTATATTTATCTTGCCTGTGTCAAAAATCAACTACATATGACTACATTCTAATCATTTCTTAAGGAATGTTTCAATTAGAGTGAAACTTCTGTTTTTTCATTGAACTTCCTTGATTGTTAATATTTTACAGTTTCATTTGATCTTGGTTAATTTCATTTAAAGATCTTTACAATAATTTCTTCTTCTAGATGGGAATTTTTAAGTAGCATATGAATATGTATTCACATGCTCTTTAAATTACTAACAAAAGTGCTTTGGAAAGTTACTTTTATTTTCCCATACATAAATACTGCTTTCTTCCTTTCTCTATTCCTCTCTTTCTTTTTTCCTTTTTGCCCAAAGCATTGCTATCCTTATAAATTCCCCTTTTTATAATATTGCCTTTTATGCACATCTTTAAATTAAATTTTAACAAGCTCTCAAAGGACCAAATTCTACCCAAATTGTGACTGTTTAATTTTAGCTATCCATGCTAAATATATGTGACTCTGTAGCCTAAAGCAAAACCTTGTATCACTGTAAAAAATGAAACAAGTCATTGAGGAGAGTTTTATAAAATGAATATATAAACATGACCACCTACCAAGAAGCTGCTTTACCATTAGAAAAAAAAAATCTGCTTTATAATTATACAGATGAAGAAATAAACGAACAACATACCTAAGTTGACAAAGCTCATGACCATGTCAGCATCATTCAGAAAGTTGGTATCGTGTAGGCTGGCAAGAGGAGGGCTCTGGGTAGTCAGAGGAATCCTTGGAGACAACTGCATACGGTGAGCATACCCATTGGGAGAGGCTGGGTATCCCTTTCTTGCCTCTTTGGCCTCTCCTGCCAGGGATACCCTCACCAAATATTCCGACTCTTCGGGATTTTCCTCGCTGGCCATAGCATTGTACAGATCCAGCATAAAGAGGGGTGCAGAAGATGCTTGTTTTCCAGGTGAAAATGGCCTGGGTCTGTGAGGCAAACCCAAAATGGAGAGAATTTCCCTCTGTATTTCCCGTCTTTCATGATTCCGCAGCCTTCTATAAATAAAACTGGAGTGGACGTGATTGTCTCCCAAACCTCCTTTTGCATAGCCCACTTGAACCCAGCCGCTCCAGAGGAAGCCCACAACACCCCTAAGGAAAAACACAGCCCAATGCATTTTTGTACAAAAGCAAAAGTCGATATGTTTAATCCTTCTTGTCCACTTAAAAATTATAATAATAATCCAGGTTCCTTAGAGGTCCACTGTGCCAGTAGCTGAAAAGTTGTAAAAACAAATTTACCTATTCTTCATGACAGTGATATTTCTGAACACAACATCCTCACTCCATTTTCTTCTCCTGTTGTAAATATTTTAAAATACGTCAAGAGTAGTTTTTTCTAAGAAAGCTGAAATTCAGATTTCTAATTATCCACAGTTGTTAAGAACTTTTGCAGTATTGATGTAGCAAAAGCTGGCTAAAATTCCTTGATCAAATAACCTATGCATTCCTATGTGAATTTATGATAATCAGGCCTTTGGTATTTGAACTGACGAAAAGCTGGTCTTCTGATAGACTGTGGCTCCCAAGTTCTCTTCACTGGCTCTGACTTCTTCTCAGTGCTTGAACTCCTTCCAAGACAAATCCCGAGGTCAGAACCACAGATCTACGCTGATCTGCACCTTGCTGTTGGAATTATATTTGTCCGGCAGCCTAGTGATAACTCGAACATCTCTTGTATGGTCTTAGTGTAAAACAAGACCCAGGGTTATACTGTTCAAGTAAATGTGTTTCCCTGAGTTTACTTGAAATCCTTTCTGTAAATCCATTCAATCTTTTCCTCCTTCTTACAGTTAATTCCACCTCCAGCAGGCACAAATATACCAGCCCTCTTCAAGAGAGATCTAAGGAGAAATGTAAGCACAACCCTGCTGGGAAAGAAGAGGCTTCTCATTGTAATTTGAAACTGGTAAAGCAAGAAGAAGTTAACCCTTTTGCTACCAGGAAAGCCTCCATTTTCACAATTTTACAACCATGCATGTAACATACAAAAATGATATGTGGGGTGTACAAGTTCCAGGGAGGGTAAAAACCATTTTTCAAGTAGCAGATTGAAAACTTTGCCACCCTTCCATACAGAAATGTTTTTGGCCTTTTTAGTGGAATGCATTAATACACTTCTATATCAAGTCTCAGGTTGTAGCAAGTTAACTTGGTATGCCTCAGGTCCATACTTTAGATTATTTCAGCTTTTGGAAGTCATTAAAATTTACTTCTTTAAAAACTGAAAGGACAAAAATATAATTAAAATAAATTGATTGATTCTTAATGACAACCAGCTATTTTAAGGCAAAAAAAAAAAAAAAGTAGCCAATGAGTCACTAGAAAATATATTCTATCAAAAAAATAGGATAATTATAATAATTCCAGGATGGGGATTATTTACTTACTTGTCTGTGAAAAGATCTAAGCAGAAATATATATTTATTTCTGACTAAATCAGTAGCTGAAATAGAAATATCTAGCATATACCATTCTTAACTTTTACTTCATTACAACTGAATGTAGACATAGTTACAATAAGATATTTATTGCAAAGAGTACTCAGTACTTTGATTTAACTTGTGCAAATAAACACATAGTGTTAAAGATCAAATGCCCTGCGTGATGACACACAGATTAAAAGTGGAATTCCTGAACTTTGACGGGTAGAATAGAGAAAGTGTGCACCTTTCTAGAATGCCATACCTAATCTGAGGAAATGAGCAAAGTATGTGTTTATCCTTAATGGTTAATGCCTTTAAAATTTGGAAGTCGGCAATGTTTCTCTGCCTGCTATAATTTTCTTCTCAGGCATGCATTTAACCTTAGCATTTACAGAGCATTCATTGTCTGGGACAGCATTCCGATAGCAAGGTAAATTTATCGAGTGAATTCTAGAGCTGTGGTGAAATTGTAATTTTTTTTTCTTTGCCTAGAGGTGTCTCGTTTCTTGTTAAATTTCTTTTAAGACATTTTCTCTGCGTGAATAAGACGATCCTATTTCTAACAGTCTTCAGTTCATTGGTGAATGCTTCTGAATCTGACTAAGACATCATCTCTCTTGTACAGATCCACTAGGAAAACTGGACCGTGCGAGTGAATGCACTGGCAAATCTGCATCGTCACAGGGTGCCACAGCAGTCATAGCAGCAGCCCAGATGCTAGAACACAGGCATTGTTGTCAAAAGAGACATCATAAGGTAGAGGAGCCATGCAGACTTCCCACTGTACTAAGCAGTCATATGAACTGCTAGAATTCCTAAGATTATTTGCTTTAGGTCCAAACCAAGAAGCAAAGTTTGGTTATCAACACAGATTCAGATCAATTCCTCCTCTGCATTTATAAAATACACTACAGATCAAGTAGACTATGATTCTCTGTATCTTAAAATATATTTTCAAAGCTGTGGATTTGCTTTATGCCTCAAAAGCACAAGAGAGTTAGGGAGTAAAATCAGCTGCACCAACAGAAGAACACTTCTTACTACATATGTATGGATTTTTTTGTCCCCCTATGAAACGCTTGAAAAATAAAAATAAGCCTGGATGTCACACGTCTCAAAAACTTTCCCTGAACCATAGTTTATAATACCAGTCAAGATAATTGTAATTTAATTGCTTACCCAGGCATATAGTCTTCCAAGTATTGGCATTAAGTTGCTAGCAGGCTTGGTCAGATTTTAGTATCCTCTTTACCCTTACCTCCCTTTCAATACAGACTAGACTTAGCCCACATTCATTTTCCAAAAGATCAATAAGAGGACAAAAATAAGAAAAAATATTCTAAGACTAAACAGGAAGTGCTAGCTACTATATGAAAAGTTAGAGTCCTTCCTTTTCAATTGAAAGTAAATGCATTTTACCACATCTTAATCCCTGGATAGAGTTGTACCTAAACATTTGAGAACAACTTGAAAGATAAAGTAGATTTTGTGATACAAGGGACCAGATACAAGGGATCATTCACACACAAGAAAAAAGTGAGATTAGGAGAAAGGCCTGGCTCATCACAAGAGGCTGCTGCAGCCTCTCCACAGGTCACTCTTCTTTGCAAGTTTCTTTTCCCTGTGAAATCTGATGCTTTTGTCTCTGGATCTGTGAAGCAATCATACTCAATTTGCCAATCTTCAGCTTCTCCAAAAGAAACTTGTTCAAAGGATAGTGGAAACATTTGTGAAGCTTTTTTGTTTTAGAACTTTCTTTCTCTCTCTCTCTCTCTCTCTCTCTCTCTCTCTCTCTCTCTCTCTCTCTCTCTCTCTCTCTGTGAAGCAATCATACTCAATTTGCCAATCTTCAGCTTCTCCAAAAGAAACTTGTTCAAAGGATAGTGGAAACATTTGTAAACCTCTCTCTCTTTCTCTCTCCTCTCTCTCTCTCTCTCTCTCTCTCTCTCTCTCTCTCTCTCTCTCTCTTGCAGTGTTGACCTAGAAACTATCTGTATCTGGAAGGGATATAGTATCTGTAAGAGCATTTAAGTGACTGGCGGAACTACCAGCAAAAAGAATTCTGGAAAGGCATTGACAGGAGTCCGCTGTGTCCAGAGGATGGCAGAGTAATGCTGCAAAACCACTCTCAGACAGGTTTTGAGTTGTTTTTGTTTTGTTTTGTTGTTTTGTTGTTTGCTTTTGAGGGGGGTTGGTTGGTTGGTTGGTTAGTTGGCAGACAGGGAGTTGGTTTTTGTGTTGTTGGTGTTGTTGTTTTCACAGTGATATGAACAGGACTGTAATCATGGGCAGCCTACCCTTTATCTGATCCACTACTAAATAAAAATTAGGAAATACATAATAAAGATAGTAGAAGTTTGGAAATGTTTGCTATTGTTGAATAACCAGGATTATATAAACAAGATTTTTTTCAATATGTTTCTAAGATTGTATTATATGAGTTTGAGAGAGTAGGTATTAATTAGAAACATATTTTCTGAATAAATAAAACAACAATTAGCCATTAAAAAGTAGACATTCTTAGTGATGATTCTATAACTACTAGACGCTTGCCATTACTTGAGAGAAAAAAATATCATGTGATGAGTTACATTCATGTTCATAAAAAAACCTCTGCTCTGTTATTACAAGGAAATTCCACTGAATTAAAGTTGCTCTTGATAGACGTGATTAATATCTGTTCCTGTCAGCAAATACCTCACTCTTTTGAATGACAGTGTGGCTTGTTTTAATTGCATAATGGTTAATCTTGGTTGTCAACTTCACAAGATCTGGAATCAGCTAAGAGATGTGCTCCTCAGTGAATCTGCTAGGTGCTCCCTGGATCATTAACCAAAAAGGAAAGCATACCCCAGGGTGAACAACCTTCAGTTGGCACTCTAGCTATGAAGTCTGTTTCCTATGCTCGGCTTCTTTCTTTTTGGTGCTTACATCTATGTGTTAACAGTAGCAGCAGCAAGTGCTGCTGCCACCATCCTTTCCGACAATCAGAACCCAGATTCTTTGGTCTTTCAATATGGACTGAGGACTGGCAGGGAAACTGCTGAAGACCCCTTATCATGGCCTGAGGAGGGAGGGACTGGGTTGTTCATCTCATCAAAGTATGGGCAATCTTGGTTGGATAACCCACCCATATCACAGAATTCCATCTAATTAATACCCTTTTGCAGTATATACACATTCTACCAGTTCTGTTCCTCTGGAGAATTCTAATAGGTATAATGTGTTTGGTCTTTGCCCTAGTGCTGTTTTGATGGCCCATATTACAATGTAAGAACATCTGAAAATGACCACAGTTCATTGATTAGATTTTAGCAATAATGGAAATTGCTTCCAAAGGCTTAGCAGAAAGGAGTTACATAGAACACAAGACATGTAAATGAGTCCAAGTTCTTAAACCCACACTGTTCACACTTTACTCTCTTATAGATGGCTGACTCTAACCAATATATTAGGCAATTCAAAATCTGTGGCAATGTGACGGTTCAATGGCAGGTATGGCTACCAATTTACCCTAATAAATCTCATGAAAAACAAGATAACACTCAAAAGAAAATAAAGTTTATAAATGTCACTATTAACTGTCACAATAATACAATTTAAAGTAAATATTAAAATTACATAATACAAAAATTATCTTAAATGCCTGGTTGTAGTTTTTCATACTACCTTTTGCTACAGTAAGTATGAAACATTTTGTTGCTGTCTGGAGAGATGGCTCAGTGATTAAGAGCACATACTACTCTTGCAGAGGACCCAGGCTTGGTTCCCAACATCCATGCAGCCAGGGAATCTGATTCCTTCTTCTGACCTTTGTGGGCATCAGGCACACAAATAGTACACTTACCTGCATACAGGCAAAGCACTCATACACATAAAAATGAAGAAATCCTAGAAAAAGAACTTCATAGAATTTCCCTCAGAAGCTTTAAGATAAATTTAAAGCTTTAATATCCTCAAATACATTATAGCCTATGTCCATTAATAACTTTAAAATCATAAATATATATATTACAAATTATATATATATATATATACTCTGCAAATTAAGAGATATGGACATTGTTTTGAAATGTGCAATATACTTAGGAAATATAATAATAACATGGATAATAACTAATATTTGAGCTGTAGTCATACAAAAACTCATCTAACATAGTTTTCTGATAGGGACTGGCTTAAGAATTGCCACTTGTAGAAGGGGGATAGTTTAAAAAATGCCAATAATGAGTCATCTAAAGACCAAGGAAATCATAATTCTTGATAGCAACTCAAACATTAACACTTTTAAATGATTAATATGTAATCCAAGTTAAAAAAAAAACCAACAAATATTCCAGGACAAATGTAAATGACTATAGATTAAAAGGACTATGTTCATGGTTATAATGAACAAGTTTCCAAATAAGAG